TGACAAACTGTTCCAGTATTGAACTGTTGACTGTATTCAACTCACTTTTCTAAAGCCTTTCAGAATGATGCAATTAGATGTGTTTAGAAAGTATTTACTCTGTGTGTGAGGATCGATATAAGTTGAATCAAATATGAAAGTAAGCTTGTGGATGGAAACCGATATGCCACAGATTAACACAGCGACGCATCAACAATAAGGTGTAGAAGACAATACGAAACTCAGCAGAATGAAACGTTTTCTCAACGATTTCAACAGTCACATTTTCAAAGACTTTCTATACAGTATCCATCCTACATTCAATATTAGTCGGAATGAGTTTCCTTTGGAAATGTTGGGCATCTTTCACGCCGTAGCTTCCTTCCCAGCTTCTACCAATAAACCTGGAATGAAATTCGTCTCTCTTGAACATACTGCACAACTTAACTTGTTCTTCATTTATCATATCAGTAGTACACATTCTTCTCATCTAATATAGAGAGTAAATAAAGGTTCTCTTTCTCATCAATAAAACTCAAGTTTGGTACTTGTATAATAACCATTGCAATCAGGTGATAAACATGTTTACATGAAACCATTTGTTCTTCCTTATGTTAGAGCATCAAGGAAATGAAATTCCAATCTCTCCTTTGATAACAGTGTGTATAAATGTGATCTGAAACAACTACCAAACACTAACTGGAATGTCACTGACGTTGGTGTTTTCTGCAGAGTTAACTATATGATGATCTGTTGTGATGTATTGCACGGTTCTCAGGATTATGAAAAATACATCATGACTGATAAATGATTTATTCCCCATTCACCTATTTTACATCGACCACATTTACCTCTAGGTGAAATTAAAACACCAGTTGTTCTCGGATTGTCGGCATACCGTTTCAAGCGAGATTTGCTTATGTATAGTCAAGAGGTCTATTTAATTATACATTTTTACTTTTTCAAAACATTCACACACTTCCATTTTTCCAATGAAATTCGTGATTGATATGTGTCATTAATTGAATTAAAGCAGGATCGTGCACAAATTTCTAAAATAATTTCTAGATTGACATCATTTATGTTATTTATCTAACGGAATTCATTTGTGACACCATATCATGTAATTTGCAGCAAATATACTGATTACATGAGAACATGCTGACCTCAGTTTTCAAAATTCCACATTGTTTTCTGAATAGTGAAAATAATATTCATCGTAATATAGAGCAATGATTGAATACCAAACAAGACAATGCTAATAACATGTGATATGTTGTTATTAGGTGAATTTGTGGTATGGATGTATGGATTCAATGGAATGTAAAAGAGCAAACTAATGAGTGAATGGCTTTTGAAACCATCAGCAAATAACAATCAGTCATCCTATTTATTATTACACAGTGGTCAATCATTGTGTGTATAGTGCGCAGTGAATCAATAACGTAATGTCTTACAATCACAAATTGGACTGATTTCAAGGTTAAATTCCACTGGATTTAAATTACTGAAGTCACATATCAGGGTAATGAATAACCTGAGGAGATTTCAACAAAGAACAATTTTTGATTTTGAAAATTTGAACTCACAACTGTTACATCGTTATGCTACTTAAATATTTGCTAATAGTATCGTTATTCTACATTAAATGTTTGTTTAGTACAACGTCTTAATAGAGATAACGGAAAGTAGATTTTCGTGGTGTAAAATGCCAAGTTATAAGACGTTAGAATAAATTATATGGTGTGAAACATCAACTGATTACTAACAGTCCATTAAGTAGTAATTTACATTATTATAAGGCTGAACAAATAACTGCGCGTAAAGTCTAACTGTAAAATGTTTTCTATTAGATTAGGGAAATTTAAACAAATTACTGTGATAAGTATTCTGAACTTCCAAGGTTGGTTTTTGAAGAGAAAACACAGTAAAATCCTTAAAAATCAGTGACCACTAGCAAATCATGACTTCAGTTGAAGGCATTGTATTGTCTAAATGAATTCCAAAATAGTTCTCTAGAAGTTTGTTGAAAACGACGTTTTAAAGTCAAAGATGAATAGTTGCTAGTAGTGGAAACTAGAACGAACGTTTCGTCCTGATTGGAACTCGTCAGCTGAACGTGTCTACATCTCAGAGTTGATGTCCACTCTGGGAGTCAAACCGAGTACCGTTGGCTGCAACGCCATCGCATTATCCACTAAGCTATTGAGTCCTGATAGTCACCTTTTGTGTTCCAACTATCCATCTTTGCTTACAAAGCTTGTGACTCCAGGCAATATCGAGGCAGTTTGCACAGGATGCACATATGCCAACAAGAGATTGATCAATTGCAGTCCTAAATAGCAATGGGACGATACAAGTCAACAACACCAAGTGAATAAGACGTCTTAAAATGTTTAAATTTATTTAATCCATCGCTATTTTTAACAAAACAATATGCTTCGCACTTTGATTAAGAAATTTCCTGGTACAATTAACAGGAGTATTCTACTTAACAATTCAGGTTAGTGAATCAAATTTATTTCTGTGTTGTAGTAAGTCTGACCTCCTAATTCAGGTCATAAATCAGGTTCTAAATATTTATTTATTTATGTGTTGTAGTAAGTCTGACCTCCTAATGCAGGTCATAAATCAGGTTCTAAACATTAATTTTTTTGTGTTCCAATTTTTTCCTTGAATAGGATATTTTATTCCTTGTATTGTGAATTAGACAGATAATTCTAATCACTGATCTTGGTGTACACCAATAAGCCGCTTTGTCTCTTATTATTCCTGCGCTCCTATAAATAATTTCCCTTTCAGATAATAGATACTTTTTGCTAAGTCTGTAAATGATTATTCGGTGTATGTCTCAGGAATTTTTCTCCTACATGGTTATAAAATGCTTGAATCCTCATCTAGTCTGGTTGTCAAACTGATGCCTTTAGCTTGATAACTTAACTAGTTGACTTTATGCGCTAATAATGGCTTCGTAATACAAAATATACCGTGTCATCCCTCATGAAGAATTATTCTTAATTGCAATCTCTATTCGTTTCATCATGTTACCGTAAAACAAAGAGATTCTCTCAGTTACCCAGTGAAGGTAGATTAACGAGTTTCTCATTTAGAAATTACCAAGTGCAAATTTGTAAAGTATTTTTTCCCAAGCATCTGGAGTAAATTTATCTTGATGGAATTCATTGGAGTAAAACAAGCACGTAGCTCATATATCCTCCGTGCTTTTCGGTTAGGAAACATTTGTCGATATCTAAAATTGACCATCTCACTTCTACTTTTGTTAACCAACGCAGTTTTTTATCATTCAAAAGCTGATGATCATCGCAAGTAAACCTTCTTGCTATGGTGCTCAGGATCACTCAGGTCATTTGTTTACGACACATAGTGAATCAAATTTATTTCTGTGTTGTAGTAAGTCTGACCTCCTAATTCAGGTCATAAATTTGAATTGGTCTCTATTCTTTGAGTATTAATGTGATTTAGTATATTTTGTTCAACACCCGATTCAATTAGTTACAGCATCGGTTATACACAGTTTTCAAAAGAATTTAATAATGTTTAACCAAATTAGAGAGATAAAAATACCAAGACATACGATCTTATTGTTAAACTATTCATTTAAAATCTCCAATAATTAGTTTACACATCCGGAAATACTGTTCAGTGGTCTGTATTGAATGATCGTTAAAATTTAAGATAGATCCAAGAAGAATAGTTAATGTTCTACCTCATCAAAGTAATACATGATGTGACAAATAGCTGATTCAGTGTAGTGAAATATATGAACATTTCAGAGAGTAAACATAATAGCTTTTTAAGATAGTGTTCCAAATAAGGTATGAGTATTATAAAACTAGTGATAATGGACTGCTAATTTTCTATATGGTGCTCAGAAGTGTTACTTATTATGAGGATTTAAAAAAGATAATTTATGATGGACACTTTCTTTTCTAATTAATGTGTACCATGAATTTCATAATTCCTATGTAAATAAACTAATTGTCCATTTTTCACTTTCCTTATTGTGAGCATTAGCTATATTAGCTGTGTAACTAAATATTATTGTAAATAATATATGGATGAAGAAATAACACTAATGCTGGTATCGTCTGATGTTTGCTCCATGATGCTTGTTGTTTCATCCTGGTTGCTATCATTTGAGAAAATGGACACATTTATACATCTTTGTGTTTAATAAGAGAGCAGATATAACAGATTGATTGTTGATGTATTCGATATTTTAACGAAGTATTTGCCTGTCACTAAGTCAGTACTTGCTGATACGATTATCGGTTTCATCTCAGAGTTTTTAAGTAAACGACTTCGTTTAATGAATTTCTTGAAGCATGTCATTTGTCAAAACATTAGTATTCGTCTTTCATTACACTGTATTTTTTACCTGATTACTTTTGTCAGGTCATAAAACTGGTTCGGATCAACTTCAAGATGAAATAACACTTGTTAATACCAATTGGCTGGCTATATTTTCTTGATATATGTAAGATGTAACGCAGTAAGGTAAGTCAATTATCGATGCCTTATACTGAGGTCCATTACTTAAACATGATAAAGTGATTTCAGATTTGACATAACCTAGAACAGAAACATTGAATCTCGCTCATCTCATAAATTAATCAACGAAAAGTGATTTTTAACTTTAATTGTGATACTGATCGATGACAGTCAACCATAAAGTTCAAATTTTGACTGACATTGACAAAAATAGTAATAAGGTAAACAGGGGTTTTAACAAAGGCATACATTTTGAGGTCAGAATAGTCAGTTCTTATACTTTACATCATGAACACATCTTAGTTAAACCACCATTGAATACTAGCTAGGACTAGACAACTTTTTCGTTCTACTATACAAATCCTCATCATACGCATGAGCATACCTGAGAGCGAATCCAGCTAGCTGGTCGTAATCAACTTTCAATAGTTATCTTACTAGGTTCAGTTGATGATGTAAGCTTTGAAAGTCAACGATCTTCACAAGTGCTCTATAGTGATTAACAATTATTTTTGTTGATTAAATCACTTATATTTTTGAATATATGATAGTTTAGTGTAAAAAATAAAATCTGTTTCTGTTTTCTTCTGTAAAATTAATCATCAACTTTAATGATTGTAATTAATCGAATTGTCGTTCAAGACAAGGAACAATTGCGATTAAAAATGTTAGGAAAGTAATTGCGCTCCCAGCTAATAAACATGTTGATGGATGAGGTATTTTTTTGGTTCCATAAAATTGTGAATTAACATTAGCCAATGTTGCTGCAGTCATTGCTAAAATAACTGAAATGAATAAGAACAAAGAATAAATAAACAAACTAGTACTGACAGATATGTATTTTTAGTGAAAAGTTTTAAGGAGATTATAGAATTTGTATAGATTTCATATCACACGGCTAAATGGTCTAGAGGTGAGTGTTCGTGAGAGAAACTAAAGGTCTTACACTTGATTCCTTGATGTAGATCGTGGAGAAACAATTCTGAAGAGCCCCATGATCAGATGAAATGTCCACTCAGTGCCTCCAGATTTTCAATAGTGATCTAACTAAGATCAGTTCATAATCTGAGATTCATAAATTTTACATTCAATCAAAGATATTTTTTGTTCTGCGATTTCTAGATGAATCTGATACATTTACATCAGATAGAATAAAAACTTGTCTTTATAGACATCGAGTTAGGCTTCAGATTAAATCCAGATTGTGTTCAAATGTTTGATTTTCTCAATTACAGTTAGCTTTATTTAAGATACTGTGTTATACTACCATGAACAAGTGAAAAAAAATGACTAAAAGATCTGAGTAACAAAGATATAAATTCAATAACTTCCAATCTTTAAGTGATCGCTTTATTGCCAATTACGATATATTGATTTTCAATCGTTTATGTATCAACAAACAATCAAAGAGCTGTTATATTAAAATCAGGAAAATTAAAGGTCATTTAACATAAGAAATAGACTGGAATAGAATCTTTCTAATCATTTTATACTGATCAGGACGAGAACCGGTGCTTTCAACGTGGAATGGTCGCCGGCAAATTTTATGCTCATAATATTACCGAATAATTCAGATTATGTTTGGAACTTTTATTCCTAAATATTATTGATTAGAGAATAAATAACTATCAAGAGACAATCGTTTGACACCTAACCCTAGTACCAACCCAAATTATTTGTCTCTTTTTATCGCAAGATGGAAGCTTACACTATTCAAATTATTATTACAATCGTAATTATGGTCACACAATTTACAGTACCAGTATATTCATTGGAAATAATTGTACTGTTATTCCATGAACGAAACTACCAATGATATTAGATAACTAATCACGATTGATTGATCACTGGGTGGTGATCAATGTCATGCGTGTTAAGTTCTCCTTCAGTTATCTCTAGATTACAGGTACACCTTACTGATGAGTGCCAAATAGCACGAAACCCGGGTCCGGTGTTTCCTGTTAATCACCTCCAACCACCATCTTATCTCAACATAGTGCACACAGTGTTGAGCCACCTAGACTAGTGGCCACATTGCAACTTGATCGAGAGCATTTGATCAGCACTAAGAAGGACTTGACACGTATGACATTGATCACCACCCAGTGATCAATCAATTATGATTACATCTCAGCCCTACAGGAGGTCAGTCGCGGCCCGAATAGCTCAGTGGTAACGTCTCTGACTGTGAAGCTGTGTGATACGGGATTGAATCCGTCAGGGAGCACCATTTCCATCAAGATTACAGGTACACCTTGCTGACGAGTGCCAAGTAGCACGAAACCAGGGTCCAGGGTTTCCTGTTGACCACCTCCAACCACCATCTTAGATAGCTGAACAAATTCAAATCACTGTGATCAAGAATCATAATAATAACTTATATAAAGATACCGTAGTATAGATGATTTCTCGAACAGAATCAAGCATGACAACGAAATATCCGAGTTAATGATTATGTTCAATTACGGTACAGTTTCATATTTCAATATCTAGTAGCTTTTTACACTTAAGCTAAACTGGAGAGAACAATACCGACGCGATAAATCCCAGATTATAGGCTTCAAATATTACTACGCGTGTGTGGGGCTGGAATAATATAGTCACCAATTGGTAAGGTCAAAATCCTTTGATACAGTAAAATATCACAGAAATTGATAATTATTTCACACTGAAATATCTAGCCAAAATAATTGAATAGCTGTGTATTTTACTACAGAACATAACAATCATTATTCATTTGTCAAAACTATACTAAAGATTTAACTTGGATAGTGTGCACTATCTTTCTTCAAAAATCTTCACTATATAAAAGTTATTTGAGGACAGTTTGAATAACTTTGAGATGATGGAGAAGATTTGTAGCTCAAGTGGATGATTTTGATGGAGTTTTGTTCTCTGAGCTGGATGGTTTGGTCGTGGAGCTTTCATCGTCCTTTTGAACGACATCATCAGCACAAACTTCGGGTTGAAGTGAAGTGTTCGAGTTTCTCAACATGTAGTTCACAGATTGTCCTGAACACCTCGATGTTGTTTGGTTCTTGTTGACCATAAATCTGTCATTGTTTACTTTTTTGTTTTGGTTGTATCTCCCATTGGTTTGATTTTGGTTCCTATGTTTCTGTATAATTTTCCTGATTGGTTGGTAAATTGGATTGATTTCAAAGTGCTGATTGACCTGAGTGCCAAGCTTCTATAAATTATCTAATGTTTTCGGAATTGCCTTTATCCTAAATCTCCACATTTTTGCTGTCGAATGTGTGTCCTCAGTTGTTCATGTGATGTCGTTCAGAAGGACGATGAAAGCTCCACGACCAAACCATCCAGCTGAGAGAACAAAACTCCATCAAAAACAATTTGAATTATTTCAAATACATAGAAAACATGATTATCTACTGACACACTTACAACTTATAATTATGAGACAAAATAAACATTTTGTACATAATTTTTGATATTTATTAATTATGAAAAATTGTATCACATCAATGATCATTGCAAGTAGTATTGTTCCAATTGCGAATATGTTGAATATTTGTTGGGCTAAATCTTTAGCTGGTTGATTTTTTGCTAAGTGTTTGCGAAAATAGAAAAAAGAACAAATAAGGTGGTCATGTTAAAAGAAGATAGAAGATTTTAACCATATAATTGAAGGTTTTGCTTTTATTTTTCATTATCTATGAAAATGATGAAAATAGTTGTATGTGTTTAAATATTCTTGTTGTTTATTTTAAGGATTGACTTTTGATCTCTTTATAAACGTCACCAACGAGAAGCTTTAAACCGTTAAGAACAGTTATCCTCTTCATATAAGCCAATGGTTATTTAAACTTAGTAGTTCAGTGGATCTTAAAAGTCTGAAGTGAAGGTTACTGAATTTGAGCCACTGTGTGAATATCAATACTGGAATCCAAGTATATCCAACTGGTGAGTACCAAGTAGGACGAAATGGACAAGTTGTTTAGATAACTGTAAGTTGTAATAATGTGCATATATTTCAAGCAAAATATGCCTAATTCATCATTTACCGACTATCTATTGACAAATGGTTTGTCTTGATTGGTGATTTTAATATTTAGATTTCTGTATTCTTCTCGTCTTCCTGAGTATTAGTTTTCAAGAATCAATTATACTATTCATCAATGTGCACATGCTACAACTTAATTAATTCAGCTGAAAAAAAGTTAAATGGCTGAGATTATTTTCGACTGTTCCATATGCAACATCGCACGAGCTAGGTTAGGGATGGCTAGAGATAGTCGGGCAAGAAATCCTGGACATAGGTTACGTACTAGTTGTCAGTATTAATGAAAGCCTACTTGAAACATTCAAGGAAATGAGAATTACTGTGGGATTCTAACCTACATTATCCGGTTTCACTGTCTGTGACGTTACCACTGAGCTGGTTAGGTTGCGACTGAGATATTTACAATTGACTGGTCGCTAAGGAGTGACCAATGTCATATTAGAGGTGTAAATATTAAATGGATTATAGATACACGCAAAAGTAGTTTCACGTATCAAGTAGTTGTACAACCAATGCGTAATGTGATCATTCATTGAAATCACATGATAAAAGATATCACACATAATTTACAATGCTAATTACATAAATATTAGATAGTTTAAACGTTCTGTTGATTTTTGTAGTCATGTAGACCAGAATGGTTTTGTTACTAATTAATGCAAAAAAATACAACCTGATACATTGAAATGATTAGGCTAAAACCATACTCACAAAACGAGGATATTGTATTCTTTTTTATGAGAAGCTGTTTTTGTTGAAAGCTGTTAAATTTAAAGTTTCGTTTCATAAATTAAACCTAACAAGATAAACAGAGAAGATCAGAAAACTCAAAAACGTTATTTCATCTTAGTGTTGAAATCGGGAGTAGGGAGCATTCAGTACGTCAGCAGGGATCGAACCTAATGTCATATTATTTGTCTACAAATTGACATTGACATTTGTTAACTTTTGATAGTGTATATATAACAGCTTAGGTGTGACGAGAAAATTGAAAATTATGTAAGACATTCTTGTATAAATGTACTGCATTATCAGATAGAAATCTGACACCTTTTAGGCTATCTTTTTTTCCGGTGAAAAAAGTATTTGGATCAGAATACCTTATGTTGGAGATTGTATTGAATGATAAGAAATTCAATTAGTTTCTATCTTACAGTAGTCATCAATCAATGCTGCAGCATTAAAATGGTTCCCCCTACACCTATTGCCGATCTCTGTCTAGATAACAGTCATCTAAGTGATAGTGATCTCATAATGGTAACTTAAGTAGACCTTGCTTATTTCTACTTGTCAATCAAACAATATTTGCATTTAACTTGACCATATCATCTAATAATTAATAGAAATGACTACTTTAACATATAATGATTGTGATCTGCAAACTGCTAAGGTGTCTTTATGCACAACTATTACTCTGTTGATTGATCGCTTGTAATTATACAGACAGTGACAGCAATTATCTTTTATTTACACAGTATCTCATTGATAACTTTTAAACGCACACACACACACACACAAGAATAAGAGTTTGGTCAGAATTACATGAATTCATTTCAGCTTTTTGAGATTTTTACTAAATGCCCACGATATATCACATGACAGTTTCAGCAAATTAGAATGGCTTGAAAACACATCAACATAGCGTAGTAAGTATGTAAATAGAAATAAAAGTTTATGTAAAATATCTCAAATAAATATGTTATGTACAATACTTCGTTTGAAATGTTTATCAGGATAGTGGTAAACTACTACTATACGGCTAGAATAATGAAGTTATATAATTTATTAATTAAATACAGACTAGTACTTCTAAAAGTATTTCGAATTATGTCCCATCTGTCTGATATGGTACGAAAATGAAGGTTATCAGAGCCGTGTGATATAGTTGCGCAGTACATTTTGAATAATCTATTCACAAATATATACTTGTTAAGGAACTATACATGCAAAAATGAAAGATCAACTCGATAAATTAGTAGGTGAGTGGAAACAAAAATAAATTACGTGAAAACGAATTATCAGGGTAGGTTAAAGGTAAGAGTAAATTCTTTGTGAGCACATAAACGAGAATCCAGGTTTCGTATTGGCAAGATTTCGATAAACCTTAGCATATACCTTTGAATACTTTTATGCAACATTACAAAGGCTGATTTCATATCAACCCTATAACTGTTTCAACCAAATGTATCACAAAGGAAGAAGATATCTGTCTTTGCAGTGATCTTACTTGACCATTAGAGTTCATTTGTTTTCGTAACCATTTAGACATGTGTTCAGCCACCCTTCTTACAGACCATGTCTACTCCTCCCTATATATGTATTTCCTTACACATATTTAAACTCATAGACGCAGTCGGTGGAATGTGGCACAATTATCCACACTCAGTCTGGGTTTTTGATGTAACCCAAGCCTTGACTTTTCAACGGTGATGAGTTGGGCTGCATAAAATGTCTTAAGGTTAGCCAGTTTAGGTCTTCGTTTCAACATACGACTATATGAGTCACCTATAAATGGTAGGGTAAGATAGACCCGATTTATGGGTGTCAAAGGAGTACTAGGTCTCGTCATATTTTCACCATCCTATCAGTTTATAAACTTTAGTGAATGACGATTTTTCACTAATGTTTCGGTCAAAGGCTTTACGTCACCCTCAATATTACCGTTAGTGAGAACTCTATTGGTTAAGCCCTTTATTAACCCACTTCTGTGCTATGTAGGACAGTGGCTTTGAATGCTAAAATACTTTCCTGTTCATATTGGCTTTCTGTATATAGAATGTTTGGTGGAACCATCATCATCTTCTTCTGCATAAGAAGAGGAACCGGTTGTTTATGATCCAACTTTATCAAATGGACTAGCTATTTTAAATAGTATAGTAAACAGGGTTTGAACTAGTTAATCAGTCATTTCGTTTCGATTGCTTTCCGTTATTATCTTCTTATAACATTGATTTGGGTTGGAATTTTAGTATACTGATACTCTATTACATTCGATTAAATGGTGACATATCATGAGATTGTCATTTTACTTACTGGCATTCGACTAATTAGAAGGTGATACTTTAAAGACAAAGAGGTGAACCTAAGAAGTTTAACTTATTAAATAAGCTTTATCTAAATAGAAGTATCTTCCTAGTAAAACAAACACCAGATTTGAAATGTAAAATATCTTTGCTTTAACGTTAGTTGTTACTAAGCATTTAGACTGTTTTGCGCTTAAATTATTCAGTTATAGGGACCAGTGTTCAATAAAAATGTCAAACTAAGTTTGCGGAAATTAACTTAGTTTTACTTGCATTCGTAATAAAATAATACCCACGTTACTACATAATCTAATTTAATGTTATAATGAACTGAAGAAGCCCCATTGTTTAGTTGAACAGGTTAAAATAGTTATACTAAGATAGACTGGAATAATGAATCATCAATTGTTTGTGACTTAAAATTTTATCCCTCATTATTCATTTGTTAACAGACAAGTAACTTACTGTCGTATTGTTTTGGTTGGATATTTCGTGCCAAAATAATGATTCTAGTTTCCTGATGTGTACTCCCTTATGTCATCACAAAAAAGGTAAGTTTTTAAAGTGATTTAGTAATAACTACTTATTACTATTCAATGGTATTATAGTCACTAAGTTCTCTGAAAATTTGAATGCAATATTCGGTTTAGAAAACTCTATATGGCTTATTCATATATTCACATAAAAGTACACACCTGCGTGGCCTACATACGCAAACTTTTAACTGGCTTCAAAAGTTGTTTTAGTGATGTAGCTAAACATTATGCCAAGCATTGTATAGTATGTGTTACTTATCTGAATGGTTCATATGTAGGGCTGCAAACATGCCATCCATACTAGATGTATAAAATAGTCCGAGATTACTGAAATCGAACAAACATAACTTAATGTAATACATACTGGCTCACAAATAAGTGGGTTAATACTATTTTATATGGCTCTCCTCTTTCATATATATATATATATATATATATATATATATATATATATATATATATATATATATATATATATATGCGGGTTGGAAGAAGTCGGGGAAAAACTGTACACCTAAGCCTTATGCTAGTTCACTCTAGCCAGTAAGATGTATCTGCAATTTTGCGCGAAACGATCCTCCTAGTGCGATTCAAACCCTGATCAAATTTTTCACCCTGTATTGAATTATGTAGACTAGTGACCAGAATGGAATGTGGTCAATAGAATTTGAACATCACTTAGGATTAGGAAAATATGACATTTGTCTTCACCCAAAGATCAATCAATTAATATATACACATAATATTTCTTATCCTGGCAAAGCCGCTTACTTAAATTCATATCAAGTTAATAAAAAACCGGGTTATATGTAAGTAGGAAGACATAATTCTACTTTTAAAATTATAATTATAATTAATTAATTAAATGAATTACACTTACCAAATAAATTATCATCCATGATTAGAGATGTCGCTAGAAAGTATAAAGACAAGAATAATGCTACTAATAAAATGTAATACGGTAATCTAACAAAATGTCCTCTATGTTTATGATGTCTGTAATGATTACATTGTTGATTGCGAGTACCAGAAAGATTCTCTGATTGTAATGATGACGATCTACTCTGCATCTGCATTACATAGATATGTATAAAACTGAAAAATTAGTTCGTTTTTGAGGTATTCATTCATACCATAGTATTAAAAATTCAATTATTTAGTTATTCATCGATTTAACATTACAAGTTATCCAATCACAATTTATCAATGAAAAATGTATGTGTATAAGCATATGTATTGCCCTAGTTGTAACTGAGATACGAAACATAAAGGTGACCAGTATAACTTAATCATTCTGATAAATTATATCACAGACACTATAACAATAACCAAACTTAAGATATAAAACAAAAAAAAGGTAATTATTAATAAAATGTGTTTGGCCTGTAAAACAAATTAGACATTGTCGCATCCCTTTTTTTTTAAAAAAAAATTAACATTCATTTCTTTTAAAGGTTGTGAAAATCAACTTCAAATTGATTTTTTAAATCGTTAAGCTGGATATCCAATCTATTTTCTAAGATAAACAAAAGTTAAACTGTGATTTCATCACATACGTTACACAAATTTTAAGTCATTTTCGCGTCTATATAAATTAAATATTCTATTGAAAAATAGAAGAACGAAAACATCATATTAGATGTTTGTACAAGAAAGTTAGTTAACGATTGAGAATTTATAGAAAGATGGTGAAAGGAAATTAAATTTAGGAAAAACAATCAACCACTTGACGCATATAGGAAGGGTGATGAAGAAATTTAAAGTACGGGGGTGATAATAACGAGTAATTAAAATTAAGCAGATGGAAAACAACAAAAGGATGTATTAACAATCAAATTGCCGTTTTCGGAAACTAAGTGTTAGAACAATGAAAGAATGATGACTTGCACATATATTTTTGCCCACAATACTCGGTTTTGAAAAAATAGATTTCTCATATCTCTGAAGTGCATTAGTTATCAAGTTGCGCTCCTCCTAAACCAAATTAATCGACTGGATAAATGATTCTATGGAACTTATCAAGGGAAGTGTGATGTTTAAATAAATCAATGACTCCTTGGTATCGATGACTGTTGTAATTTTGAATTCCATATACAATACATTCGTTCGGGCTCATCTAATACTTCTTGATTACATTGAGTTATTCCTAGGATTACTAGTTTATACTACAATTCAAATACTTCTGATCATCATATTGGCGTCGTGATGGAGCCTGCGATACAACAGTTGGACATTCATTCAACTTCTGAAGCTTTTCAGGATTACCTTGAAAGGTTTGAGATATGGAGCATGACCAAGAAAGATATGAAGGGTGACAAAATTGTGGCACATTTTCTTACATTCATTGGTCAAGAAGCCTACAGTTTGCTAAAAACCTTGGCATATCCAGATAAGCCGATCGTACTTCCATATTCAACTCTCAAAGAATTACTATTAAATCATGTGAAGTGCACCAGTTTTGAATGTCGTGAGAGAGCAAAATTTCATATAATGATTCGTCAGGATAACCAGAAGGTTAAGGACTTCATCCTTGAATTGCAAAGACAAGCTGCGAAATGCAATTTCGGTGATCAACTTCATGTACAGCTGAGAGATCGAATAATTGCTGGAATTAACATACCAGGTCTGGAAAATGAGCTTTTAAGAATGCCGAACTGTTCTTTTCAAGATGCTAGAACTGTATGTATTAACTACGAAGCAGTGAATGAACTTAATATTCAATCGATGAAAATTCTAATACTTTGCTTAGTCGTCATGATGAAATACAATCTCAGGGTCGATTAAATTTGCGTTCGTTTAATCATGATTTCTATTCTTGTGGAAATATGAAAAGTGGTTTAACAAGGGACTACAAAGCAAACAACAAAGGTGAGAATAAGTTTGGCAAATGCTTATCTTGTGGCAAATTTCATTCTCGTAATTCATGTGCATTTCGTAATGCTAAATGTCTTAAATGTGGCAAGATATGACACATTCAGTCAGTGTGCAAAACTACTGTTCACTTTGCTTCAAGTATTACTAAGTCTGGTAACTTAGATCCCGATAATTCTGCTGTTTCTAATGATCATTTATCTTTATCCACTATTTCAAAAGGGAATGTTCATATTCAAAAGCGATTATAAACATCCCTTGGTTCATTTCATGACTTTATTGTGGACACAGGTAGTATAGAGTCCATTATTTCATTCAAGAACTTGAAATCTTTAGATCCTAATGTTGTGGTAAAACCCACTGCGGTCTCAATACTGGGGATTACTGGACACAGACTGCCTATACGAGGATGTTGTAAACTGCTAATAAGAAATGATAATTCTTCATACGTACCTTGTGAATTTTTAGTTAGTGAAACAGGACTGTCCATACTGGGTTTAAAAAATCTGAAAAGGCTTAAAGTGGAATTGTCTCTACTAGTTTCTACAGAGAATTCTGATGCTTTGCTCAAGGATTTGATAGCTGTGTGTGCTAAGTGTAGTGGAGGTATGAAAATTCAGCCATAAAACTTCAAGTACAGGGTGATCCAGTCTTTCTTAAAAGACGAATAATTCCTTATGGTCTTCGAGAAGCAGTACATAAGTCACTGAACGATTTGTGTGCGAAAGGTATAATTGAACCAGTTCAATCCTCAGCATGGGGTACTCCTATTGTTACGTCATTGAAGTCGGATGGTAAGACCCATAGAATATGCGGTGATTACAGATTAACACTGAACTCCCGTTTGTTGAAGCAAACATGCACGACGATGGAGGCTGAAGATATTCTAAATCGACTTCATGGTTCCAAAGTGTTCTCGAAAGTTGACTTGAAAGATGCTTATCTTCAAATCCCTTTAGATCAATCTTCATCTATCTTGACAACAATTAACACTCCTTTTAATCTGTTCAAATACAACTTCCTTCCATTTGGTTTTAGTTGTTCTCCAGCCATATTTCAAGAGGTCATGAATAAGATAGTCAGCGATATTGAAGGTGTTGAAGTTTATCAAGATGATCTCATTGTTTGTAGTGCTGATAAAGTAGTTCATGACCAGAGACTTATTGCTTTATTGCGTCGTTTAATTGAGAAGAATATTACAGTGAATCCAATTAAGTGTTCATTTAGTGTATCTAGTTTTGAATGCCTTGGATACCTAGTTGATGGTAATGGTTTTAGACCAGATATGAAACGACTAGCTCCACTGACAAATGCACCGTCTCCAAAAATATCACAGAATTACGTTCACTAGTGGGTGCTCTTCAGTACTATTCTCGTTTTATTCCTAATTTTTCTTGTCGTGCCAACTGTTTATTTAATATTTTGACATCCAATTCATTCAAATGGGGTGAAGAACAAGAGTCATGCCTACGAAATCTGCTAAAGTTTCTTCAAAGTGATGCTGTTCTTCGAACTTACTCACCCAGTGTACATTCTGTTCTTATTACCGATGCATCACCTGCGGGTATTGGTGCTGTTTTGGAACAGGAAGGTAGGCCAGTTATATGTGTTTCACGCAAACTTTCTGTTGCTGAACAAGGTTATTCACAAACGCAGCGAGAAGCGTTAGCTGTGTTTTGGGCTGTTAAAAGACTTCATAAATATTTATTTGGAAAGAAGTTTACCATTGTTACTGACATAACAGGAGTGCAAAACAAATTCAACACGTTGACTACATTTCTCGACAACCATTACAAGATAGACCTGTTAATACTTCAGACTGCTTGTTAGTGCAACCTTTACCGGTGAGACGTCCAGATCTCATTAGAGAAACTCGTAGATACTTTGGATGTATACTCAGTGCTATATGGAAGGGTTGGACTGCTAATCTGAAACGTAGATTTCCTGTCTATTATTCAAAGCGGGACGAGTTATCTACTACTCCTGACGGTATTTTGTGTTTAAATGATCGTGTTGTTATTCCTCCTTCATTACGCAAACCTGTCCTTGATGATCTTCATGGTGGACATCTAGGTGTTGAGAAAATGAAGTCCTTGGCAAGACTCACATGTTGGTGGCCAGAGATAAATGCAGATATATGTCGTACAGCAAACAATTGTGAGAAATATCATAAGCTAAAAAGTCTGTCTTCGAAGTGGACTCCATGGCCAGTATCGTCTGAGGCGTGGCAGAGAATTCATGCAGACTACTGTGATCCATTTCTTGGCAAGTACTATGCACTTGTAGTTATTGATTCTTTTTCTAAGTGGCCTGAAGTTTTTTTCACAACTTCACCAAATTCTGACTTCACAATCCAAGCATTAAGGAAGGTGTTTAGTCGAAAAAGAGTTCCCATGGTGTTAGTCACTGATAATTGCTCTCATTTTGCTGCGGATGCAGTCACTAATGGGTTGAATGGTATAGGGTACAGATATCTGTTTAGGGCTCCCAGGCACCCTTGTTCTAATGGTCAGGCAGAAAATTTCGTACGAACATTGAAAATTGCTATTGATTCTATTGCTACTTCGACATTTAATGAACTGGAGAGGGGAGTAGATACATTTCTACTTCAATATAGAAATGCTAAGCATTCTGTGACGAAAGAGACTCCATCAAAGCTATTAAAAGGAAGAATTCTCCGTTCGAATACGAGGTGTTTGCAGTCTGCAGAAGTTACATTTTATCGTGGGAATGATCTTCGACCAGCCACGGGGATCGTGGTGAAGAATGTTGGAAAATCTATGGTGCGAATTCTGGATATTAATGACTTGACTATACATAACAGACATGTTGATCAAATACAATACCAGAATCCAGGTGAGTCTGTTCCAATTTCGGTTGTTAATTCTAATACTAATGAGTGCATTCTAGATAATACAGAGTCTACATCCAATACACCGTCGGACAGATGCAAGATGAACTTAAGAAGAAGACGAACAATTGATTACAGACACTTACACTCCAATTCGAGCTGTGGCGGATGTGATGTTTAAATAAATCAATGACTCCTTGGTATCGATGACTGTTGTAATTTTGAATTCCATATACAATACATTCGTTCGGGCTCATCTAATACTTCTTGATTACATTGAGTTATTCCTGGGATTACTAGTTTATACTACAATTCAAATACTTCTGATCATCATAGGAAGCCATGTGA